CGGTGGATCGTTCATGTATCACATTGAAGATAACGAACAGCCATTGGTGGCCGTTGGCTTCGTTGTTGCACTCGACTACAAAGACCCTTACCTTAATCCTTATCAGGTTCATTTCATTTTTTTTGGTTTTCACTTTAAAATTTAAGCATCAAGGTTTCAATTGCATTTTATTCTGCAATCCTCAAATCTGCGAGCTTTTCAACTATACTGTTGCAAGCAATTCGGCTGATAACTATAAAGAAAAATTGTAAGAATTTCGACTTCGCACACGATTTTCATGTAACATGTGCATGTTTATGCTAAGCAGTAGTCCAGAAAGAATTTGGTATAATTTTCGAATTTGAAAGTTGACGGTATTTCTAAATCAGGAATTCCAACGTTACAAATTGCATCCATCGATTCGAAAATATTTGGAAGGTGGCACACGAATCGGATACGGTGCACGAGCGTTGAACGAAGGGGGATATCAAACAATCCCTGATAAGTTAGCATTCCCGGGTGGTTGTCTTATCGGGTGTGCGGCCGGTCTGTTGAATGTGGCTAAGTTGAAAGGTGTTCATAGTGCGATGAAAAGTGGCATTCTTGCTGCTGATGCGATATTCAGTCAGCTTGGCACAGATTCTAAAGGTTAGCAATCGCTTGTCATATCCCTTGAACTGTATGAACATTTTATTGACCAGTTTCGATCAGTTACTTAATTATGATGTTGATTTCGAAGCCGTTCGGAAAGCGGTTTTCTTTTTTAAACAGTTCAAAAATTTCGATGTAGTTCGAAGCAGTGCATTTTTCTTTGCAATGAAGTCATTGAATAGTAACCATTCTCACAGTTATTCAGAACGTTATTGTTTGGAATTGTTCTGTGGCTTAATAAAATATTGCAGTTTGATAAATGTTTTATGTGATTTGATCAGTTTCAGTAATCGACCCTGAGGCATATGATAAAGACCTTCGAGAGAGTTATGTGATAAAGGAAATGAAAAAGACACGTAATATACGACCATCATTCAACACCAGATTGGGCTGGATTGGTGGTATGGCCTACACGGGGACATTCTTCGTTGTGGGACGTGGCGTTGAGCCGTGGACATTGTCGCATGGCAAGCCAGATCATGAGAAGCTAGAACCCGCTGAGAAGGTGATTAGAACATCGTCACCGATCAGTTCTTTTCGTTTCACAACTGAAAAATATTTCGATTATCAAGAATAGATGTTCGCCATTTCCAGAGATATATTTTCATGCCTCTATGATATTTTAAATAGCGTGAAAATGTCATTGAATTAGAGGCTTTATTTTGCAACTCTCATCATTCAGATTCCTTCAAGGGATGTGTTGAAGTTGAAAATTTTTGATTTCGTCGAAAGAATTCTGATTGTATTCGATTAAAAGCATTTATTAATGGCAATTTGAATGCGAACTTGTAGAATTTGAGTGAAAAAACTGAATGTTTTGAAAATATTCCGTCACGACGACATTCGAGTGATATCAGTCGGTTTAACTTTCAGCACAAACCGATTGAATATCCTAAAGCTGATGGTGAAATAACGTTCGATCTTCTTAGTTCGGTTTCGTTGACCGGAACAAATCACGAAGAGAATCAACCGTGTCATTTAACACTTAAAGATGATGATGTACCCGAATCTATTAATCTTCCTAAATTCGCTGGTCCCGAATCGAGGTTCTGTCCTGCTGGTGAGTTTGCTGAAATAATCCTTGAAAATGATCATTATTTCCAATGAACAAGAAGCCGTATTCATTGTTGAGATTTGAAATGTTTAATTTTGCATGAAGAAAATTGATTTCAAATTCGTTAAAAGTATTGCTTATTACAATATTATAATATACGAACGAATGGAATTCCTTTAATGATAACACTTCATTTTGAATGATTCTCCTCTGATATGCAACGTTCAAAAGTATAACATTAGAGAATTTGAGAAGAGAGTTGCAATTGAAACTGATTTGATTATGCTTAAGGAGTGTATGAATATGTGAACAGAGAGACGAATCCAAGCGAGAAACGATTACAAATCAACGCACAAAATTGTATTCATTGTAAAACTTGTGATATCAAAGATCCGACACAGAATATCATTTGGGTGGCGCCTGAAGGTTGTTTTTATTCGATGTTTTCATGAACTGTTTTGTTGTTATAATTGATCGACAGAAGACATGTATAGAACACATGTATAGTTTAGTCTGCAAATTAGACACAACAATTTCTTGCTTCAGTCAAATGTTACTGATTCGATCGATGCCTCGAAAGCAATTGAACGTCTTTCATTTTCAGGAGGTGGCGGTCCAAAATATGACGGAATGTAAGTATGTACTCACCGGAATTCTTCCACTCATTATCAGTGTTATGAAGTTTTCTTCAGTTTGCTTCAATAATGCACTTAATTTTTAATTTTTTGTTTGAATTTTGATGCGTTCATTTATTTACGTATTTATTGCAGTTATTAAGTTTTGTTTTCATTCTTTCACGAATTTTGCATGAAGCTGAGCCATTTCTGAGTGTTGTTTTTAGAGCTTTGATATTTGTAAATGTTTCATATTATCATTTTATAACGTTACCTTGCATTGTAAATGCGAAACATTTCATAGTTTTCATTCTTCATTAATGTTCTCTTTCCCTCAAAATGTTTCGAATTGACGACTTGAAGTGGTGAATTTGGGTCGTTTGTAAATGATCATAAAGACAAATTCAGTGATTATTGTTCGTCGTTGATCAATCATTTTGACTGTTGATAAAAAGTTGAATTTTTCAAAAGATCACATGATATTGGACGTTTTGATNAATTCGCTCTGAATCAACTTAAAGCATCACATTTGCAATTTGATGGAAACCCTCAATTTTTTGCTGCAATAATCTCCATCTATAATTTCATATGAAAAATGAAACAAAAATTCTTGTATTATACGGATTCGATTGGTGCTCTTCTGAATCCGATTCTAATGTTTCTAAAACGTCTTTGTACATAGAGAAATTTGAATGAATTGATAATTATTCTTTCATTGTCAAGTATTCATTAGTAATGAATATACGAAGTGCTTTCGTTTATTCCGCTAAATTTTTGACTCATTCATCTTGATCAATTGAATCTGTCAGTGATATTTTCCTCATTCGATTGAATATTCATTCATCTGATTGCCTCATTGAATTGCTCATTTGTATATCACATTGTTGCGGTACATTAAACGCGTTCTTTTGTTTCTGATTGAATGAATATCAGTATTTGCGAATGCATCCGTCAGATAGTAACATTATGATTACTGTTATTACCGTAATTGATATTCATTGTTATTTTTCACGGTCATTACTATCGCAACCAATAAACGCATTTCCTTTCACAAATTTGATTTGTTTGTATTTCGCATATTCAGTGTGCAATAACGTGATGAATTAAGTGATTGGAAGGAGACATTTGGAAGAGCTGTTGATTGATGCTGAATTCTTAAGTTAAAAAACAATTATCTGGACGAAAAATGAAACGTGAAAAGAAATTGAATAAGCACTTTTCGTAGATTCAATTCATGACTTATTTTGTGAACAACGGGATTGAAATGTTGATGTTGTTTTCGATTCGAGTTGTTTTTGAATTTGAAGTGCACTTGATTTTGTTCGATTAGTGCGCAGGTATTCATCATTATGAGTGCTTCTTTTTGAGACTTTTAAGGTTTCATTCATTTCTGGAGTTTCATTGCTTCGAG